AAGCTGGGACCGGAGATGCATTGGAACGCAAGGGAGATATGTCCGCTGACCCGGAAGTGCCCTATGATACGCAACGTGATCGGAAGTTGGAGGTCAGACAGCCGGAAACCGGAAGTGAACCGGCGAAGAAATTACAGCGCGCCTTTTTTTGAATATATTTAAATGCTAAATTTGTGTGATATTGTTAGCACTTTGATAAAGACCGTTATGGTTGAAACGCGTTAGTGCAATACATTTGGGAGATTCCATTTTTTATGCTATTGTATGCGAATAAAGTTTGTTCCTGTATTTCCTGACTTGATCTTTTATCCAAAGACATAAGGGAATTTTTACAGTGATCAGCTTAACCTGCTTCTTCAGCATCGTGGTCTCCAGAATTTTTTTACAAGGCGCTTATAGTCTGAGCCACTGTAAACGGCTCAGCACCACGTGAGTGGGCAATTTTATATTTAATTTGATTTTTGTATATTTTATACAGGCTATACTATGTTCTTTATTTTCTATTTTTAGGACATTCCAGCCATATGGTAATATTGCCTGCTTCATGTATCCCAGCAGCCTGTAGCTCAGGAAGAGAGTTGCCGCAGTCGCTCCTCGCTGTTCCGCCCCCTTCCTTCAGTGGGTGCACGTTTCTCAGCCAGCTGATTAGATTGCTGCAGAAATTGACCGGCGGGAGCGGTGTTCTCCGTGATCCCGCCAGTCACTCGGACATTTTTGCGCCCCTTGGGTCCGTGCGCCCTAAGGCGGCCGCTTGTGCCGCCTTATGGTAGCGCCGGCCCTGAGGGGGAGTAAGAAAAAGAAGGGGGGTATGAAAAACGGGGGGTAAGAAGAACAAGGGGGGAGTAAGAAGAACACAAGGAGGAGGGGGGAGAGTAAGAGTGAGGAGAAGGGGAGATGAGGAGAAGGGGGGGACTGAGAAGAACACAGGGAGGGTGGGTGGTGTGGAGAACACAGGGAGGGGGAGGTGAGGAGGACACAGGGAGGAGAGGACACTACGCGCACACACACACACAATGCATCCCTATACATACACAGAAACACACAATGTATCCCTACACACACAGAAACACAACATGCTTCCCTTACACACTGAGAAACACACAATGCATCCATTACACACACACAATGCAACACTTACACACAAAAACAATGCATCCTTTGCACACATACACAGAAACACATAATGCAAACACTTACACACACACTGCTTTTCTTACATACACACAGAAACACAATGCATCACTAACACACACTCAATGCACACACTTACAGACACACACCTTGTATCCCTTATGCATTCAAACACAGATTCACGCAATGCATCCCTTACACACAACCAGAAACACACAATACATCCCTTATACACAAATACACACTGCTTCCACTACACACAAACACACTGCATCACCTGCACAAACTGGTATCCCTATACCCTACATACCATAAGCACACATATTAGATCCTCTACAACAGGGGTTCTCAACCCAGTCCTCGGGACCCCCTACCAGTCCAGAATTTGGGGATTACCTGGGTGTGTCTCAGGTGTTTAGAAAAAGGGAAAAAAACACCTTAGAATAGGTTTTTTTTTTTCTTTTTCTAAACACCTTAGACACACCCAGGTAATCCCTAAACCCTGGACTGGTAGGGGGTCCTGAGGACTAACGTTGAGAACCCCTGCTCTACAATAACACATAACACATCCCCTACACACTCCACTCCCTGTGAGCGAACTCATGGGTGGGTGGAACATATAAGTGGACTTATGAGTGGGCCTTGTGGGCATACTCACCATCATCCCGTGGGGCCCAGACCTTGAGCTGTGTAAGGGGCCCCCCAAAAAATGGAGCTGCTTCCAATTCTCCCAGAACATTGAATTTTGTGACCACAGTTGCAAGCCTCCAGAGATCCTGTTCTACACGAGACCAGTGGAGCCAAACTGCAGCCCATCATCATCATCCTCATTTGGTTGTAAGTAGGCAAGCTAGTATATTATTAGTGACACTAATCTATAATTTACATTACATTAAAGGGACACTATAGTCCCCAGAACGACTGGAGCTTAATGAAGTGGTTCTGGTATCTATAGCCAGTCCCTGCAGGCTTTTTAATGTAAACACACACTGTGGGCAGCACTGGCGTTAGTTCGTATGGCAGCTCATATAGGTGGGGCATTGTGATGTCACATGGGGGGCGGCAAATACAGCTGTTCCCCATGCAGCCACAGGTGCCACTGTGCTGGGAGATTGTGATTACTCTTCACTTCCTCCCAGCTTACAGAGCAGCGCATGGGAGAGAGAGGGGAGGAGGCATGATTTAATCTTACAACAAATCCAATAAGCAAATCTTTATAAATTTGGGTGGGATCAGCTCTGTTTCCACAGTTTATTGGTGTTTACTCTGATGTCTGTATTAATATTGAGGGATTTCTAAGTAGTAACATCAGTGTGTGTCAGCAGGGCCAGCCATTGGGGTGTGCACGCTGTGCGGTCACGCAGGGTGCCATCACAACAGAGGCGCCCGGCGGACAACACAGCTCACAAGTTGGGGACACCAGCCTATTCAATTTAAACGATTCGCTGGTGGTCCACTGGTGCGCACCAGCAGTAGGTGCAGTCAGATTATAGCCTCTCCCTCATGGTTCCGACGCTCAGTTAGTGAGTCAGAGCACAGGCTCAGAGATTCTCAGCCTGTGCTCTGACAACATTGAAAGTCAGAGCCGTGAAGGAGCGGGTATGGCAAAGAGCTACTGATTAGCATAACATCAATATCCGTTATAAAACCAGGAAAAGGTGGGCACCATTGCACTGATTTGGGGGTGCAATGGGCCACTTGACTGGTTTTGCCACCCAGGCCTAAGGCTGTCAGCCCTCCCCTGCCTGGAACACGCTGTCATTTATCTCGATCCAGAGCATCCCAAACATGCTCAATGGGTAACATGTCCGGTGAGTATGCTGGCTATGTAAGAACTGCTATGTTTTCAGCTTCCAGGAATTGTGTACAGATCATTGCAACATTGGGCCGTGCATTATCATGCTAAAACATGAGGTGATGGGTGTGGATGAATGGCACAACAATGGGCCTCATGATCTCGTCACTGTATCTCTGTGAATTCAAAATGCCATCAATAAAATGTACCTGTGTTCGTTGTTCATAACATACACCTGCCCAAACCATAACACCACTGCCACCGTGGGCCACTTGATCCACAACATTGACATCAGCAAACCGCTCACCCACACTATGCCATACACGCTGTCTGCCATCTGCCCTGTACAGTGAAAACCTGGATTGATCCTTGAAGAAAACACCTCTCCAAAGTGCCAGACACCATCAAATGTGAGCATTTGCCCACTCAAGTCGGTTATGATGACTAGGTACAGTCAGGTCGAGACCCTGATGAGGACGACGAGCATGTAGATGAGCTTTCTTGAGAGGGTTTCTGACAGTGGTCATGTTGTCTGTATACTGTATGTGCTGTGTTTTGCTATGAAATGCTGTAAATATGGAATTTAACCCTCTGCTGTCAGAGGAGTAACACCACCTCCAGCAGCATCATATTGGTATCAACAGCCAGCCCAAAACCGGGTTGGTTAATGTCAATTCTGTGCATTTTACATTGCACAGTCACCTGACAAACTCAGCCAATGAATAGAGATGGTTTCTGTGGCTCACCGGACCACAAAGAAGCCTCTTAGCCAGGCAGCATAGTGGACTGTAGTAGTTATGATGATTGGCGTAACCCTTTGGCTCATTGCATCATACCCACTGTTTGCAGTATACCTGCACTACTCCATCTACCCTCCTACAACACCATGTATAAATATACTGAGTGCATTGCTATATTGATCTCACACACACACTAATGTTTACTACTATCTTAAATTTTCCATATATTTTCATATATTCAATAGAGAATAGATATTTAATTGAATTGTGGACACTTGTAGTCTTTTGGAATTGGGCCTTTGGTTTATATTTAAACTGCTCTGTTTGATTCTGATCAAGTGGGTAAATGTGATATTCCTGAGTCAGGATCCAATAATCCTTTGAAATGTATTGGTTTTATATTTAATGAAAGGGGTACTCTAACCCATTTCCCTCTTAACATGATGCATTTGTTAGAAGGTATGACAATGAAACCTCCAGTTCTGCCTCTGTGCTATATAGGTCCTACATAAAGCCTTGTTCAAAGTTGAGCCTTTGTCTGCCATACAAATGAACTAATGTTGACAATGTCCCAGTGATGGTTTGCAATCACCAGCTTTACCTCCTGTGAAAGTACTAAGGTCCTTAAGGACCTCTAATACCTGGGATAAATAATGGATATTATCTCCCTTATTGGCTAGTAAAGATTGTTGTGGTCCCCATCTATATGTAATGCCATTTTCTCTCAGAAGAGTGGCATGACTGGAAAAGTCACAGTAAAGGCATAGCTTGTAACCCTAAAAAGACAATGAAGGAGTGTCTCAAACTATTTTCAGCAACATACCTTTAATCACTTCTCTCTGAAACTTGAGTAGTATATCGAGAGAAAAACAAGTAGCAAGAAAGGTGAGAACGGACAACAGCTCAATTAGCCTGCCCTTACAGAGAGAACATATCTGAAGCATATCAGATTGGTCCCACCCGCATGGGCAGTTGAGATCTGAAATGCCAGCAGGTTCCCTCTGCATGAGAGATACAGCAACCCCAGACGATCGTTTCAACCTTGTAAGGTATTATCAGTGAGGCATAGTCACGTGAGCAAGGGGCCCATGTCTGGATTGCCCTTTAAAGTTAAGGAGAGAAAAACAAGTAGCAAGAGAGGTGAGAACGGACAACAGCTCATTTAGCCTGCCCTTCGGTGTGTCCCTGCTCAGATCTCAAGCTTGTTTTAGATCATCTAGTGCCATTACAGAGAGAACATATCTGAAGCATATCAGACTGGTCCCACCCATACGGACAGTCCATGTCTGAAATGCCAGCAAGTTCCCTCTGCACGAGAGATACAGCAACCTCAGATGATCGTTTCAACCTTGTAACCTCGTAACCTTGTTTCAACCTCTCATGCTACTTGTTTTTCTCTACTTGAGTAGTATATCTCTCTAGAAGCATAACTAGAATTCCTGCAGCAGTCTCGGGTGACTTGTTCCCTCCTTAACACGAGACGATTTCTGGTAAACCATAAAGCATCCTTTATGCAGCACATTAGGTGCCACGCTTCTTCAATGGCGCCCACTGTGTATGTTCCAGTCCATACAAGACAGAATGATAAGACAGATACTGTCTGTAAAGCAAATCTTTGAGTTTTCTTTCTTGGGCTACTAACAAAGCCAGTGCAAATGGACACTGCCAAAAGAGGTGTAGAAACTTTCCCTCCTCTATAACACACTGTGGTCATGTCTGTATCTGCACAGCCCCCTTGCATGCATAAATGTCCTTAGGGGGAAGCTTCTCAAAATGGCCATTCTTGCCAAGTGTTTTTGTTTGTTGGCTAGCCTGCCGGATGTCATGTTCTTCCATACAGTTTCTGCTGTAGCAGCTGGCAGCCCCGAAATAGACTCTGGAATGTCCTGTTCTTCTGAGTTTGTAGATCACCTTAGTGGTCCACTGTTTTGGTTCAACTCCTTCCAGATGTTGTTCATTCTCAAACTTTCTCACACCTGTCCCAGCCTAGCCCTCTCCAAATGGATTTCTAAGCAGAGCTGTTGACATTGTCTCTTAAGGTCCTGCACACTCCGTTGCATACAAAGAAGGCTCCCTTGCCTCCCCTGTGTGGTTCTTTGTATATGCACTTCACTCTGTCCCTTTTGGATATTTAACGGACTGAAAGAAGCTGTTATCTCCAGATTTCTACAAGAAAATCAACTACAGAAAAGGTCCTATCTTAATCATTTATGTACCTCATATTTTGGACTTTTTTATTCTACTTTTATTATGTTATATACTTGACCTTTACTGTTTCTGATTGCTTTTTTTTATTGTTTTTACCATTACATTATCAGTATTTTAATATTTTGTATTTGTGGTGCAACCTTACTTTTGTTCTACAGTGTGAATAGTACTAACCATGTGTCTGACACAGATAAGGCTGCACAACACATTGCCCATGCAGGTGTAAGGTTGTAATGTTTGGGCTGCTTTGTTTTAGGTTAACTTATACCAGGCTCTTTTAGAATGTTGCTTCTTCCTTTTAGTAACCAGCCGCTAATCTTTACAGTGCCTGTCATTGTGAGTAGCCCATGTTTACTGACTGCAAAATTAGTATTGATGAACGGCTTCCATTATATTCTATACATTATATTCCATTATATTCTATACTATATTTTTAGAGGCTGGTTTCCCGCTGGTTTCCAAATGCCCTCTTGCTACTCATTACTGGCTGCCGCTAACCAGACAAACTTAACGCCAGCCTCTGGCCTGGTGGAAAGAGGTTAATGACAGCTAAAATCCTATACAGCCTTTGGAAATAAAAAAATCTTGTTCCAACCCTGTGACTACTTTTTTATTTGCTACTTGCCACACAAGACAAAGTGCACATGCTGAAGTGTGTGCTTCTGTGCTTTTACCAGCAAGC